CCTTCTCTCCGCCTTTTCTCCACCTTCTCTCCACCTTCTCTCCAAATTCTCTCCACCTTCTCTCCACCTTCTCTTCATCTTCTTCCCGCCAAATACAAGTAAGTTTATGTCAGATATCGCCTTACAATATATTTATTGTTTCCGTAAAGGATATCCATTGCGGTTTTTCTCATACCGACATTCCAAGATCTACTCCTTAAACTACCGGATGTTTGGTCTAGAAATAAAGGATGCACTATAAGATGCCAAAATATCACGTTTTATGTATTCCTTCTCCCCTCCTTTATTTCACTTCTCACCCAATAAAAAAATGAAGGGGTGAACGCTTTTTATTTTCATCCAAACACGCGAAATTTCTCGTAAGTCCGTCCGTCCGTCCGTCCGTCCGTCCGTCCGTCCGTGCATTCAGATATCCAACTCGTCGATCTTACTGAATTCCTTCCAGAGTAAAAGAATACGATCCGACATTGGCTGTAACTCGGCAGTTTTCACGAATGTCCAGTCGTTAGTAAGTGCATATATGTGTTTTGTTTTGGAGCTTAGGAGTGTTTTTGTTGACCCTCCGTCATCTGGTTCAACTTATCTCTGATTACGAACATAGCCCTAACATAAAACAAAATACCTTATYCTCCTCTGGCATATTAGACCACCCAAAAAACCCAAACAGCCCCTCACTTTTCACCTCTATTCAATCTATCACAGCTGACGAGGAAACGTAAACATACACCATTTTTGTCTCTAAGTGGATATTTTTCCCGACTTGATATTTTATCTCCAAGTCATCAATGAACTGGTAATGTTTGACAGTACAACATTCTAGAAGCAAAGTACAGTTATGTCAAACCAGATTGTTATCTATCATGACATTCTTCTGGAAGTATATATACTGTGGTGTATTGATAGAAGGGGTTAAGATGCAGCTGACTAACACAGATATGCTTAATACAATTAAGATGGCATTTCGAATTCTACTGACTATAATAAAACCTTCCTCTTCCTCACAATAACCATCAGGCATCCAAATGGACGTAAATAGAGAGGTGTTCGTATCATAGACGTCTGTTTGTTTGTAAATACTTACAGGCAGGACCAAAAAAAAAATTGGTTCTTAATAGAGAGATGTCCGTATTATAGAAATATGTTTAATTGTGAAGAAGTGCAGCGAGGACCAAACGAAGTGTACACGATAGAAAAGTGTCCMTATTATAGAAGTCTATTTATTTGAGAATAAGCGCAGCAGCCTGACCAACTCGCAGTGTCAAAGAAAGGGTCCTTATAYATTATAGACGTCTATTTATATGTTAAATAATAGAGTAATAATGTCTGCACCGAACCCGGGTTAGGCAAAAATTTCAAAATCAAAACTTTGAAAGAAATTTTTATTCGAATATTGGCTACGCGTTCGGTGATGATTCTCTTTCACACGATATAATTTACATGTAACTCAGATATTTATCTCCGGACATTTCGGTCTATTTTTACGCTACATTACGGACTCTACATTATGAATGAGAACATTTATAAATAAGGTATCCAAGTGCCAAATGTACACATAGCATGTATAGCATTTACACCCCGTATCAATTCAATAAACTACTTACATCTCAGTCTATCGTTTTACTTTGGTCTTCAGTTCCCCTTGAACAAGTAGTCCTGTTTAAAAACCAGAGATTTAAGCAAACACCGAAGTTCCTCGCAGACARTGGTAAGAAATATTCCAGTCGAGAAACTATAAATGCTTGGCCTGGAATCGAAATATTCCCCGCGCACGCACGTGGTTGAGGTGTCACAAAGCACGAGTCTTCCCAAAGATGACAATTTCCTCCAAGGAATTTGTTTGAGATAAATGCTTTCTGTACAAAAAAGATAACAGCTTGAAGGATTTATTTGGAATTAGACGACTGTCACAAATTCACCAGTGGGGAGGGGGAGTGGAGSAAGGGAGGGGAGGGTAGGCGACAAATATTTCCATCCTTAGTTTAGATTTAATTTTCCATCCTTCCTTCCTCTGCGTGAAGTGAAATTTCTTTTATTTTTTGAACTCTAGCTTTCCTTCTGTCATGATAGCGTTAATTGATTCACGTCTTGCCCCATCCTACCCCTGTGAGATTTCATAGTGTGTCATGACAATTACCCCCCATTCTACCCCTGTAAGATAATATGTGTCACTGATAATTACCCCCATCCTACCTCTGAGAGATCTTATGCGTTATGACAATTACTCCCAACCTTCCCCTGTGAGATATTGTGTGTCATGACAGTTATCCCCAACCTACCCCTGTGATAGCTTAATGCAAGGTCATTTTAGTCTACCGTGACCTGGGATTATCGCCAAGATTATTCAATCTCTTTTAAGATCCGCTTTCCACRCAACAGAACGTCCTTTGTTGCATACCGTTCACGGAAAGCAATATGGTGGCCTCTGATATCTCAAGTGTGATCCGGAACTGTTATCGAGGCCAGTGCACTTGGACCGAGTAAGCCAATACATCATGACAGATGTTATCAATAAACCTATTCCTTTTGGCAAGATGATGGAGTGCTTCTCCAAAACCGAATCGTCTGCTATACTCTAGGGATATTTAAGGTGACAGAATGAGAAACTCTTTAAGGGTTTCCCATTTGTTGGTTTTTGGTCGACACGTTTTTTCATGTCTGAAATGCAACGCGTCTGGTTTTGTGGTTCGACCAATCAGATTGTGCCGTTGCTTTGCTCATTTCCATAAACGATCCCGACGTCAGTCTGTCTGTATTTTGGTATGGTTGCTATCCTATCTTGTTGCGTCCGTTGTCAACACGGTAATCGAAATTCGACGATTCATGATAATCAATTAAAAAGTTATAAGGGAGGATTTGAAGTAAAAAGAGGTATGGCTTTTTWAAATTAGTGTAAGTATTGTTATTCTTATTGAAATTAGTATAATTCAGTCTAAAGTTGCAAAACGTTTGTACAATAAAATAATTTATCTCTAGGAAGTCGCGCGCTTAGGTAGCTATATAAGTTAGCATTTGAAGTTTGCTTCCCATCTACCCCGCTGGCAAAGTCACCTTTTAATTCCCCCAAACGATACAAAGAAAGGAGACTGATGAAGTCGTGTGGTTTTATCTTTTGTAATGCCGCTATCAAAGAAAATCTTTTTTTCTCTCTCTCTCTCTCTCGTTGAGGGAAATTAAAAGAAGACTTTGCCAGCAGGGTATTCCCCAGCCCACACCAACGGCACATACATCTACTACGATAATCAATATGTCGTTCTGAAATATGTAACATCAGGGATTAGCTCCTGGTAACATCTGGAGTCCCTCACAGCTTCATTTTGGGTCCTTCAGTTATTTCTAGTGAACGTAAACTGACCGTAATATGCCAAAGTATCTAAAGTTATCTAAAAAACATTGCTTCGTTTGAGGACCTCCTGCGTGTTGCGCAAACCGACTGTATTCTTTGCTAGCTTCGTCTGGTTTTATAACTTGGGGCATTTTATGTTGTTTCTGTTGAGTTACGTAAGCACAGAGTCACAATAATGTACAGAACCGACTATCGAGACTCATTAAATTCGGGTTCCATCTAAACAAGTCCTGCATGTATTAAACGGCCATGGATTCTAGAATGGAAAATGGTCTTTACTTTTTTAAATGTTGATGAATGTAAAGTAATCAACATACGAAGAGAAAGAATTTTGATCTTCTGTAACTATATATTTGATTGCCACTAATGCAGCTTAATATTCCAGAAAACAAAGTGCGATAGAGATTATTTAATTCTTAGTGATAACTTGTTGAACCTCAAATGTATGGATTGAAACACAGTAGAAACAGCACAATTGCCATTCTTGAATAATACTGGTACTGAGAAAGTCAAGGTGAAAACCTGGAGATTCTAAGAGAAAATAGCCCTCTTAAAAAGGTATGATATGACCTAAACATGAAAGGCATCGAGACAAAATTGGTAATGAAGTCATTGCGCCATCGACATGTTTTCAATTTCGATTCGTGCCCATTCGGCTTGTTTTTCAACGTTTCTACAAATAGTTAATCATGAAATGACTTCCAAATATTTTATCATCTAACCAAATTTTTTTATTGTTTGTTTACTTAGCTTGCTTTTGTAGTCATGGCAACTGAAACTTGTGGCGCAAACGAGAATGAAAAAGTTGAAAAAATGGCTACTATAAAAACAAAATAACGATTTTTGTTAAGATATTAAAGAATTTTATCTGGTAAGAGGAAACAGCAATCGAAAGTAACTTAGTTTGCCACTAATTGACGTGCTAAATATTTTCATTTATGATATTAAGTTATTCTTATAATTTTTATTGCAAACGATTTAAGTTAAGTGACGTATTTACAGTTTCTTCTCATAGAGCGGAGGATAATGTCATAAATAAATAGAAAATGGATATTAAAACCGAAAAGATTTACAAAACTACGTCGAATAATAATTATTTACGATAGATAACATACAAGTGCAAAGTTTTGTAGGTCTACGGCCTACTGAGGTCTACTGATCATAAACCAGTCCTAATTGTGCAAAGTTGTTTTAGTTCACGGATATATGGGATGCACTCTAATGAAGAAAATAGGTTGTCTGACTGATACAATAGTAAAACAAGAGAAAATTCTCGAATAAAAACATCCTTGAGTACGCAGGCATTAATATTAATATCTATAAATAAACTTAACTAGGTCTGACATTATGTAGAATCTGAACCTCAAAGAATATCTGAACATCAAAGACCAAACTTTAAAATATCTTTTAAGATGACGCCTCTTATTCTTGTTTTCTCGTTTGCAAAGAGATTATAGTTGGATTTAAAAAAATTTCTAGTTTTAATAAAGCATGAAACATCAGCATTGCATCTAATGAATATCCTTTTCTATTCTACTGAATTTTAATGTCCAAGCCGCCGAGTATTTTATTATCTTCTGCAGCAGCTGGCGTTTAAGAAATTGTCCGGAGGCCGTAAAAGCAGAAATTATCGCATAATTAAAATAGCAAATCGATGAGGGACAAAAACAAGAATATTGAATAAATACATCATTAATATCATGACTTTTTAGGGGGAAAAAWTAATGTTTGGGAATGAATAAACAGGTAATCGAATTAACTAGTTCAATCCCGAAAGAACTTTCAAGTTCTTTTAAGTGCTTAAAAGCATTTAGAATACAGTAAAAAAATATCTCATTTGAAGAGAGTATGTGGACCGCGTGGCACTAATGAAATAGTAGAAGATAATATAGGTAAGTTGTAGTGCTTGGGAACGAGGTTATTCCGGGCGAAAGCCCTTGGAATTAAATTCGGAAAAATTAATTTCCGACCTCGCTGGGATTCGAACCCACGACCTTCGGAATTGTACTACCGATCCTCTAGCTCAGCTGGTAGAGCATCGGTAGTACAATTCCGAAGGTCGTGGGTTCGAATCCCAGCGAGGTCGGAAATTAATTTTTCCGAATTTAATTCCAAGGGCTTTCGCCCGGAATAACCTCGTTCCCAAGCACTACAACTTACCTATATTATCTTCTACTATCTCATTTGAAATAAAGCAAAGGTTTTTTTTTTTTTTTTTTTTACTTCATCTTCATAATTTGAGCTGACTTCGATTTACTTCATAATTTGACTATAAAAGACTTTTCACAAAGCCAGAAATGAACTGTGAAACGACATCTTAAATCCGGTTAACTCTACTATACAGTAGTAACCTTTCTATAAGAGGTATCATAGAGTAAAACTTTAGCTTTTAAGAAAAATCGCTACATTTTGGTATTGAAAAGTTTGAAGGATTTTTATGTCAACTTCGTACTATTTTCTATCTATTTTTTAATATTATATAATATGTCGTTTCGTACTATTTTCATGTAAGCCAAGACTCCACAAGTTCTAGAATATATAGTTTCTTATCTAAAGCAAATCTTGACACAGCGTTTATCATTGTTTGTGTTTACTCTCGTTTGGTGGGCGGCTGAACGATAAATTATAAATGGATTCTTAGGTCTTGCAAGTATAAATTATTCATAGTTGCATTAGTGAAAAGCTTACCTTTTACAAGTCTGTCGTTGATAGCAGCCATCGACAATAAAGAAATTAGCTGGAAATGACCAAATAGCTGATCCTGAAGGCAGGCATGAAGCAGGAATAACGGCTACCAGATGAAGAACCGTTTAGTGGGTCAAAATTGGAATAGCTTTCTTTTTGTGCTGGTTTCTCTCCTTATCGTCCAGTTCCAAGGTAAGGTTAACTCCTCCGTGAAAAGTTTGAAGCAATAAGAAAGTCAAATTTWAAAAAAAAAAATTACGCAATATAGGTTCTTAAACATACTTAGATAACTTTTTGAACCTTAGTTCTTGATATAAGAAATTCTCCATTTTATTTTGATTAATAAACCACGCACTAGGCATGGCACCGAAGAATATCTGGAAGCGTTTGGAAGAACTAGGCTCAAACATAATTGAAAGTGCTTTTTGCTATTTTTTAACTCGCTAGTATCGCGTCAAAAACATCTCGGATATTTCTAAATTTAGCACATGTAGTAACTCAAACGTTTAGGCTTTTAACGTTGTATTCAAAATCGTATTTTTAAGTCGCGGTTGCCGTTACGGGCCGATTTTCTAACAGCCGTTTTACAAGATATCGTGATCTTGTTTGCTCAAAATCAGTTCAAATCTATAAAAATCTATAAATATTCTTGGTAAAAAGATTGTCATAGTTTTGCCGGTCGGCGCGAGTTTAGAGAAAAGTCACCGAATTGCAGGTACTTGTTCAGCAAGATCATAGTTAATAGAGGGGAATGGTTAGGAAACTCTATTGTTATAGGTTATTGTTCACGTTTTTCAAGCGTGACCGTGCACAATCCTTTGTTTTACCATTGTTTTACCATTGTTGGCAATGGCTGAGTGAACAGACAAAAATCTTTCTTTTGGCAGCTAGTTCAAAACACTTAAAGATTTTTAAAAGATATTTGAATATTCCTTACAATAATCCCGTAGACAAAGTTTATGTTTACTTATTTTGCAATTTTGAATGAGCATAAATCAAACATTGTGCACTGTCAAGACCGGTTCAACCTCACAAGCGAACAAAGACCTGATAACAATAGGTTTCCTAACCATTCCCCTCTATCAACTATGGCAAGATGTACCTATATTAAAAACGAAATTGATAGCTGAATTCATACAGGGTGTCAGCTCATGCATATTTATTCCACAACATTAGGATTTTCATTCTCATGATGAAGAGTCCTTTAACGCTTTAAAAAATAAGAAATAAATGGAAACCTATATTAAGTCAAGACATGCAAACAAATAACCAACGTTTGTTGAGAACGAGAGCAATTTTTCCCGACGCCAAAGGCAGACACTAATTAATCATGATATTTAGATTTAGTTTAATATAGCGTTTCTTGCGCTGTGATTGGTCGAGCGACCTGTGATTCTGAGACGATAATCACCGCTGGAGCGGTGAATATGAGGTTTTCCAAAGTTTTCCAGATCGGAAGTAATATTAAAACGCTTTTTTATCCTGAATTTGGACTTTTCTCTGATATTCAAGTCTAAAATTGTACTAAAACAATTATTCCCCTCGACAGGCTCAGTGATTATGTTGATATTTATATCTCGCCGCTCGGAGAATAGCTCGCCGCTCGGTAAATATTCCACCGATAATGTTCAATAATGTTAAATAACCAAGTTCAATAATTGTTTTATCATTCAGATTATTTTTTTCCATTGGTTTTTTGTGCTTTGGTTGTTTTTGCTATTTATCAAACATACCAAGTCACAGGGAAGCGAGCCATGTCGACAAGTGCAACGTTACTGCGCATGAGCAGAACTATTATTCGCAGCAAAACGGCTTTGCACCGTAATGCGCATGAGCAGGATATTATTCGTAGGTAGTTATTTGCAGGTATCTCGGCCAATCAGAAGGAAGGGAAAAAATAATTTGAATGATAAAAAACTTTACGGAACCGCGTGAGAAATTTTGGCATTAATTATCTCTATTGAGACCCTTTAGCAGCATACAATTTGTCATCATTCAAAATTTATGAATTTTAATTAACAATAGTATTCTGAGGCATAGAATGCTTTGATGATTCTATTGGCACTTATCTTAAGTCAAAGTGGTTTTAGTAAATATAAGCATGGAACTATTTTAAAACAATGATTACAATAATTACAATTACAATTAAAAGGCTTCAGTATATTCAGAACTGTGCAGCTAGATTATTAGTTCAAGCGAGTAAATTTGTCACTCCATAAAACTGCACTGGCTTCCTGTCCGTTTCCGAATTATATTCAAGATATTGCTCATTGTGTACAAGTGCTTGCATGATATGGCTCCCCCATACCTGGCTGATGCTATAAAATCGAGCGAAAAATTTACGCACTCTCAGATCTACAACCATGGAGTATCTAGAAGAACAAAGATCTCGTCTGGGTGACCTATGGTGACAGATCTTTTTACGTTGCTGGCCCTAAACTGTGGAATGACCCACTTCCAATTAGGAAAAGTTCTTCAATCCAATTATTTAAAAATGAACTGAAAACTCATTTGTTCAAGAACTTTGTCTCCTCTGGTTCAAAGTGAACATCAATGAACTATGACATTTCATTAATATTATAACATACGTATGGTATTTATTTCATTTTTTATTGTGAAGCGCCATAAATTTTGATATGTGCGCTATGTAAGTTCGATTATTATTATTATTATTAAAACAGAAACCCTTGGAGACTGCAAGAATATGATCTTACTTCCGGAGCAACAAGGTTACAATCTACGTCATCACAGTGTTCAGAACTTGACTGACGTCACAAAAGACGTTTGCCAGATCACGTGTTACATGCACGAGTCATGCATGTCGTATAACTATTACACGAGGTCTGCTATTTGTGAGATAAACGATTCAGATGAGTACCGTAACCCCGATGACCTCGTAAATAAAGAGGACTCAATGTACATTGGTACAGATGTGAGTACATCGTCTACTATTTTTGTTAAAATATGTCCAATGTTGAGTGAGTTAATTTTTTCGACGATCGTCCTCCTTTTTACCCCGGGGATACTCCCCTATATTAGCTATACGGGTACGTGCCGCCAAACAGGGTACGGTTTTCAGCGATTCTACTCTGGAACAGGGTATATAAAATCGCGCTC